GGAGACTTATTTGAATAGGAAAATTATATAACGGCACAAAAATAGACAAGTTGGAGACTCTGAGATCTAAAAAGAATGAAGAAAAACACGGCGGCGACGACGTATATGTGAACTTTTGGTGAGTGGTTGTTGGCCTCCTCTCCTAGAAAATCTGTCTTTTCTTATAAAAATCAAAGGGGTGTCTTGGTGTCTCTTAAAAAATGTGTCTCCATCCAATGAATTTTCTATGAGTTGTTTCCTTATAAGCCAATTGAATGAATTTTTTGTGTTCATGGGCTATTTCCTTCGTTTTTATCAAGGGTTGCTTCAAACACCTCTTCAAAATTTCGCTCCAATTAATATTTCTTCAAATAACTAACTTTTGCGGCGCTTAAGCGTGGGGTACCTGACGCTTAGGCGCGCTAGATCATTTTGCACGTTTCTTCATTTTTGCTCCAAATTTGACCTTTTTTCACTCCTTTTAGCATCTCCATCCATTTGATTGTACCTACAAGAAAAACACAAAAATACCTTTCATTAAAGCGCAATATCTCATAAATATGTATAAAAATCTGTATAAAAACACTATAAATTTTAGGTGCATCAAAATCCCCAAACTCACAACCGTAAGTTATTATATTTGGTTTACAAAGTACAAGTGTTACTTGAGGACAAGTAACGATTAAGTTTGGGGGAATTGACACGCCTTAAAATTATTTATTTTTATATGTGTATTTTATACTCATTTTTAAGAATATTACGCTTTAATGAAAGATATTTTGTGTGTTTTTGATTTTAGGTGCAATAAATGGGATTTAAGAGCAAAAAGGAGCAAAATAGGCCAATTGAAGCTAAAGGATCACAAAGTTGACGTGGCACCGATCTTCTAGAAGCTTGGAGCCTAGGCACCACGGTTGGGCACCTATGTGCCAAAGCTGATTATGCATATACTCAATGAATTTGGACAGATTTTGAAAATGTTGCTGAAGTGACCCTTGGTGATTTTTGCAGCTTCATATATATAAAAGATTTCCAAACAAAAAAGTGTGTGTGGTGAGTCGTTTTAGGGTAGGGTTACATCGCCATTGGGGTGGGCAGCCACCATAGTGAGAGTGTGGTGATTGCGAGTGTTTGTGTAAGTCTTGTGGAGTCAAGTTTAGTTAGAAAACTTCAGAGGATTACTTGGGAAAATTTGTTAGATAAGTATTTGTACTTTTATTTAAGCCTTGTTTTGTAAACTTAGTTTTTAATATATATCATGTTTTGTTTTGTTATCCCCATGAATTCTGAGTAGTTTTCTTTTTTTATCATTGCAATAAAAAGTAATCATATGTGGGGTTAGAATGTTTTAAATATTTCTTATATTCCAAAAATTTGTGATGGTATTTTCACTGATTCTTAATTTACTTTTCAAATTGACCATTTGTGATGTTAAAATCTGTTGCAAAACATAGTGACCCGGGAGGGCTATGATTTTACCCAACTAGTGAGTACCACACTAAACCTTGGATGGAAGGGATGTCACGTCCAAGAGGGAGTGAAATAGATAGGGAGATAAGTTTTGATGGGTGTGTAATTGATGATTCTAGAGTGACAGACTAGAACCTTTTTCACTCAGAATAATTGTATCAATCAAGAACTTAACTTTAGGTTAGCCAATATTCTTTATGCACTCTGGCGATGGTAGAAAAAAAGGTATGTTCCTATTTGTCACAAAACCTTATTTTTATCTTTAAGCATTTAATTCTTACATTTATTACAATATCTTTGCAAGAAGAAAGACTTTTTATTTTAATCATACTTCCTTACACATCTGTAGTTTAAGAAACTTTGCATCTACTTTTAGCTTTGCATTTAGATTTAGCAAATATTGATTTATACCCTTTTACAAATAGTTCGCTATTATTCTCCTACAAATTTTATTTACAATTTAAATAGAAATATTTCTAAGTTGACAGAGAAATTCACTTATTCTCTGTGGGTTCAATACTGGGGTTTTTAGAGAAAACTCTATATTACTTGAAATAATATGTATACTTGTGCAGTACCTCTAGTGTGTAAGTCATTAATTAATTTTATAACACAATTATTTTGCACACTAGCCACTGAATATAAATTGAGTCAAGTTTTTGGTCATCTTTCAAAACTTAAATAATTATGTAATTTTGGGTCGAATTATTAGGCTGAGTTCATATCAACCTAAGTCAGACCCAAATCCAAGCCTAGTCCAAAGCTATTGATTAGGGTTAATTTATATCTAAATTAACTTAAGACTAAACATATGAATATAGGAGGAGCAAGGGACTTACTAAAGAGGAGGCATGCCATAGTGGTTCGCCATAGGAGGAGGCTTGAGCACTCTCTATCAGTCAAAGGCCGAATTCAGTGTGGTAATGGAGTGCCAATAGGGCCTATTTATAGGCTAGAGAGGTGGTGGTGGAGGCCTTTGTGATTGTTGATTAAGGTGATGGTTATACGGTAGAGATTATTCCAATGGTTGGAGCTCCCACGGATCACCTGCGGTGAACCATCGCTTTGATTCGATGTTGACCCCGAGGATGAAAGCCACAAGTTACTAGCGTTCCTCAGGGATATAGTCACAGAAGAGTATGACATGACCATGCCCAGAAGCTTTCGCGTGTGGCTATACTCAAACCGAGTGTGACCATGCCTAAGAACTCCTAGGTGTGGCTACGTCCGTATCAGATATGATAATTCTTAAGAATTTCTAGGTGTGTCTACGACTAGATCAGGTGTGACCACATTGATCCAACGAGTAGAGTTTAGGGTTTGATTCTGAGTTCAGGTTGAACAAAAGTCAGGTCAACAGTAACTTCTCGCCATTTATGAGGATAAAACCTTGTGGTACACTGATTTAGTGAACTTCACTATCAGCAAAATAGTTCCCTACAATCTGATCTATCACCAGTGGAAGTGGTTCTTTTCATATGTCAAATTCTACTATTGGGATGAGCCCTATCTTTTAGGAAGTGTAAGGACCATATCATTAAGAGATGTGTGTAATTAGAAGAGGTTGACAATATCATTTGATCTTGTCACGATTCAGAATCTATGGGACATTTTGAAGGATTTAGGAATGATACTAAGATATTACAATCAGTATTTTATTGGCCTGCCCTTTTTAAGGATGTGAATGATTACTTCATAGCTTTTGATAGATGCCAACGGGTACATAATATTTCTAAAAGATGTGAAATATATTTATGTTAAAGGAATTGATTTTATGGGACTCTTCATATCATTATTAGGAAATTTATATATTTTGGTAGCAGTATACTATATCTCTAAGTGGATTGACACGGTGGCTTTGCTCAATTGTGATGCTAAGAATGCTCCAAAATTCTTGAAAATGCATATTTTAGTTAAGTTGGAACACCTAGGGTAATTATTAGTGATTGAGGCATCCATCACAAATCATTTTTCACCTGAATGACGTAGACATGATAAAATATTTTATGACTATTTTTTAATAATTATGGGAGTTATGGACCTCAAGATATAAAAGTTTTATATGAATTTTGCAAATAAAACTAAATAAATTGGACAATTACATATATGTCTTTAGCATAAGTTTGTCTACAGATCCACAAACTTCCTTTTTTCTAGATGTTTCGCCATGCATTTTCCATAATTTCTAAATAATAAGGGATTTAGGGGAAATAGAGAGACAGCGAGAGAGAGAGAAAGAGAGAGAGAGGGAGAGAGAGAGAGAGAGAGAGATGAAGAAAAAGTTAGATTTTAGGGGTTTTGGCTCACTTTTGGTGTGATGGATTAGTTAGAAAAATTAACTGGCTCAAGATATTCTACCTTTATCCTACATATGATTTTATTGATTTTGATTTTTTGTGCATTATTCAAAGTTTTGGTTGTCCAAAACTTGTAAAATTTGGGATATATTTATATTTTGGAAACTTTCACTGTGTAGCTTTTAATATACTATTGTCTTATTTATTCTACATACTTTGTTTTAAGTAAATTGAATTTTTACTAGGTATGTCTTTTGTTTAAGATAAAATTCATAATTTGAGTTATATGAAGCTTTATAAAAAAGTATATATATATATATATTATGAAATACTAGCATATTGATGACTATGTGCAGGCTTAATGTGTGATTTCTATTTTGGTTGATGCATATAATTTGATCACATCATTATTATTGTGGATTATTCTTTTTTTTCTTTATGTGCAAGTTTTAGATATACACTGTGATGTTAAGCATATTATAGTGTTTAAATATGATATAATATTTTGAAATGTGCGTACACTAAAAGGATTAGTTATTATGATTGATATTAACGGACATATTATACTTTGTGTAGTAGGGTGGGTTGGCGGGCTTTCCGTTAAATGAGATAATAGTGTATAGTTGATATATGCTTAGAGTCATAAATGATGAATATGATATGATATGAATGTCGATAGGCTGAAGTGATACCTCACATGTACTATGTCACATGATTAATTGTTCTGACAGTTTTTACAAACATAATATGTTATGATATTATATATGTTTTACTATAATTAGTTCAGAAAAAATATCACATATAATTAGTCAAAACATTTAACTTTATATGTGTAATGATAATTATACTTGATAATATGAATTGCATCAGTATTATTATTGTCTTTTGACATATTATTGTGATTTATATGCCTTGTGGTATACATATACATCTTTAATGACCGACATATTTTACTATTTAAATCATACACGATATGATTATGATGCAATCATATATATCATTATATTTATCCATTGATTTCAATTACAGATTATGTGTAGCCTATTGAGTTGTTCGCACACTCTTATTGCATTCACATATTTTTCAAAAAATGGTAAGACTACTAGAGTCGGCTAATGGTATTTGTTGATATAGATATATTTGATATATATATTTCATGATCATGGAGTATTTATCTTTTTGACAATAATGCAATGAAGGGAATTCTCGCAATAATCATCTGTTTAAAAACTTTGAAGTGTAAAAAAGTGTCATTGATTAAGCTTGCTCTTGAAATACATATTGGCATATAGGAAAAAGGAAATGGGCAGCAGAGTCAAGTATATTTTGAAAGGTGATGAGGGACTGCATGATGAGCTGCCGCATGGATCTTCAAACTGCTATACATGGATGCATCTGCATGCATCTACTGTACGTGATCCTCCTGCATGAACCGCCAAACTTGAATGGAAATCAAGAAAAGTAACTGTACGTTCACCTCTGATTTAATTCATTTTTTGGGAAGGATGGTTATGGGCAATCCGTTCATTGGCAAGGCGAAGGGGCCAAACTGAACGCCACTTTCCGGTCCACAAAGGGCCCACCTGAAATGGATAAGCAGATTAGTTTCAGTACTTGAACCCTTAACTTCTTATTTTTTAAAAATTATACAAAGTTGGAGTTGCGTGTTTTTTCAAAGATCTACTTATTGGTTTGCAAAGGGATGGACGGTGACTGCTATTTTTCTGTAACTATAAAACTAGTGTTTTTGTTTATGTTTGTCAACCTGTACTTTGTGGTGAGGTGATGGAGGAGAACTAAGATCTCCAGCTTCGCCAGCTCATTTCCAGGGCACGCATGGGTCCCGTTTCCAAAAGGCATGAACGTGCTCGGCTTCGGTGGAATCTGCTCCAGTCAACACAACACCCGACATTTATTAGCCATGAATTAGTGAAATATTTTTACTATTTATATGTACATATATATGTATTAGAATTAATTGGAAGAGAAAACAGCACCTCAAATCTGGAAGGGTCAAACTTGTCTGGGTCTGGAAAATTGTCTGGGTCATGGTGAATGTTTCGAAAGAGGGGCAGAACTTTCCAACCCTTGGGTATGAGATACCCTGCAGATGAGTGACGAGTCAAGGTGATGATCTACCTGCTAAGAAAATAAAAATAAGAAGTAACCTTGGTAGTGAACATCCTGGACGGCTTCCCTAAAGGTGAAAGACAGAATTGTAGCGAGCCTCATGGTCTCCTGAATGACCCTGCAAGTGACGGGCATCTTCTTGGTATCCCTCCAATTCAAGCCCCTCTTCTCTTCATCTCCCATCACCACCTCCTTGCACCTTTGAATCTCCTCTTGCTCTTCCTACGTTTATCATTGACTAGCAAATAATGGCAGGAATAATAATATAATAGTGGTGGTTTCCAGCTTCATTAACATATAAATTATGAGATTGATGATTCACCGTGACGAGTTGGAGGACGCTGGGGTTCTCCGCCAGGTACTTGAGTATCCAAGTGAGGACGCTGGCGGTGGTGTCGCGGGCTGCGAAGATGACCCCGATGATGTTGTCGGTGATCTGGTCGTCGGTTAGGGACTCTTTTTCATCCATGAAGGATGCCAGAAGGTCGTCGGCCTCATCGGATTCATGATTTTGTTGGTGATGAACCGCAGTTACAGCTCCTCCTCTTAGTCTTTGTTGCATCCTCCTCCTGCAGGAGATGATCCTGGCCACGAGGAGACCGACCTGGCGCCTGGCCTTCATAGACTTGTGGAACAGAGTCCCGGGAAGGTTGATGGGCATGGAGTTGTACCCTCTCTCTAGGGTGTAGTAGCACTGCTTCAGCTCGTCTATGTAGGATTCCCCTTCCTTTCCAAATATGGAAAGCAGCGCTACATTCAACGCGTACTGCAGGTCCAATCATTATTTATAATTAATCTGGAAGGATTCAATAATTGACTTCAAGCAGGATAGGCAGCGAAAAAGGATGTAAGTAATGATGAATGGATGGAAATGAGTACCGTCTTCATCTCCTGGTAGGTGTTGATGAAGCTGCGGCCTTCCAAGGAGGAGAGGACGCCCAGGGCGAAGTCCTCGATGGAAGAGACCTTTGATTGGATGGCGGCGGGCATGAATGCGCGGAGCAGGAGGCGGCGGAGGCTGGCGTGGTAGTCGCCTCGCTGGAAGAAGATGGCCATAGGACCCAGCATACGCTCCTTGCTGGCAGGGAAGGTTGGCTTGAAGAGGTGAGCCTTTGTCACCAGCACGAATCTCGCAGCCTCCGGGCTTGACATCATCACGCAGTGGCATCCAAGTATGTGGGTTTTGAAAACCTCCCCGTACCTCCTCTGCTTCTCCGCGAAGAAGCTGTTGGGGTTTTTGTTTGAGTACAGTTGCAATGTCTCTCCAATGTAAGGCCACCCCAACGAACCCGGAGGCAGCCGCCGCTTCACCGGTTCATCTTCCCCTGCAACTGATGCTTTTTTCTTCCGGCTCACATGGCCAAAAATCAGGCAGAGGAACGCCGCCAGTAGCACAACAACGGCGCTGCCTCCGGTGCTCATGGCTCAAGCGGAGCCTGTGAAATTATGTATGTCCGGAGGAGGCCGAGTGATGGATGCTGAGGTCCAGGGTATTAAAATGCAGAAGAAGCGAGGTGGTATGGAGGAGTGCTGGGAATTAGGCCAGGTGCTAACTATATAGTTATAGGTAGTGATGAGCAAGCAGCTTTAATAGGTTTTTATAATCAAACAGGACTGACTCTTCAAATTAAATTGGGTTTTTCATAGAGTCCATACTCTAAAAATTTTTTTTGGAAAATTTTATAGACTCATTTTATTTTATAAGGAAAATTTTGAAGAATTTCATAAATATATTTTAAATTAGTGATTAAAGAATTCTAGTAAATGTAATTAATGACTTTTGTAAATAAAGATGGAAAAAATATTCTAAAGACTCAATAGGAGTCATTAGATTAAATTAGGCTCACACAATTTTAATGGGGTTGTCACTAGTGTAAATATATGTGGTGTGTTTGAGTTTTGTATCAAGTAGAATCAAGAAGTAAATGAGTGAATTAAAAGTGAGTTTTCTAATTGTTCATCTTCTCTTTTTAGCATTTCCCCTCTTTTAATAGTCTCTTATCTTCCAACAAAGTAGCTTCAAAGCTAAAGTTCTCTTCTAGAGGGTAGATTAGAAGATGATCCCCTTTCAATGCCCAACGCTCAACAATAGCAACTATGACAATTAGAGCATCAAGTTGAAGGCTTTTCTTGGAGCGTAAGATGTATGAGAGATGATAGAAAAAAGCTAAAACTAGACACTGGACGAGTCAATTCTATCTCAAAGCCAAATGGATAGTCTAAAAGATTTGAGGAAGATAGACAAGAAGGATGTCTATGTAAACTTTCAAGAATTAGATGTTGTCTTTGAGAAGATTTATCATGTGAAGTCTGCCAAAGAGGAGTGAGAGAAACTTCAAAACTCTTATAAAGGAGCGAAGCAAGTTAAGAAGTTGCATCTCCAAATATTAAGAGGTGAGTTCAAATCCTTACATATGAAAGAAGTTGAAGTCATCTCTAACTACTTTACTAGAATCTTAGAAGTTTCTAATCAATTAAAAAGAAATAGAGAAAAGCTAGATGATGTAAGGATTATGGAGAAAATCCTTCAATCTTTAGAATCGAAGTTCGATCATATTGTCGTCATCATTGAATAAACCAAAGACTTAGAGGCTATGACAATCGAGCAACTCCTAAGTTTTTTACAAGCTTATAAAGAAAAGAAAAAGAAAAACAAGTGATCACGGAACAACTTCTGAAGATGGAAATTAATTCAAATTTATTTAATTATAAATAAGAGATCTTTGAGTATGATAAAAGTCAATAAGGAAGAGGATGTGGTTGAGAAGAAGGCAATAACCATGAACGTGGATGTGGTAGGAGCTTGAATAATTACAATAATAACAATATTGATTTTGGACGTGCAGAAATTTCAACAAGATGGCATGGAAGAGGAAAATTAAGACCATGGTATGACAAATCTCATGTGATGTGTTATAACTATGAAAAATTTGGTCACTATGTTGCAGAACGTAGAACTCTCAATAACAATAAAGTTGAAGAGAAGACTAATTACTTGGGAAGAAAGAAATAGGCAAAATGACACTTTGCTATTGACATATAAGGAGAATGAAAAGGGTGAAGGTAACACATGGTATCTTGACACCGATGCAAGCAATCATATTTGTGGAGAAAATAACGAAGCAATATTGTCCAACCACCACTAATACTGCCATCAATTACATGAACCAATATCTCTTCTTAAGTATTTGCTACTTCATTTTTTGGTATTATGGATTCAATTTTACCATTTTTTAAGTTCCACGAAGCATCACTATTAGAGATTTCTTATTTCAATTTAATTTATAAGTTTTTTGGGGATCTGAAATAAAAATAGACTTTCAAAGAGAATTATATTTTTTTATGATATAAACACTAATATCCTAAAATAGGGGTAAATTAACATGTCATCAATAAATTTTTATCATCTAACATGAATCTCGATGCATTTTTTAATGTGAGCCATTTGATCTGGTGGTAATGGGAGTTATTTGTCAAAGGACCAAAATACCTCTCCCATAGAGACTAACAATATACCCCCTCTCTTCACTTAGAGGGGATCAATAGTAGGAATAGAATTCTAGTGTTGTTCTGGATTGAAGGCTGATGATAAATTTTGGCATATGTAGTCATTAACCATCATCGTCCGTCGACCACCGACCCATCGACCACCACTGACCATTCTGGTTGCTCGACGTTGCCAATGAACATTACTGACTAATGATGTATCCCAAATATAACATAATGACATATATCGAATACGATATGATGATTTATCCCAAATACAATGTAATAACGTATCTCAAATATAGTGTGAGTGAATAACATTGTATTGAAAATCCAACAAAACTCTCAGTAACAACTGCTTACGATCGTTATATTTAGAGCATGGTGACTTCTTATGGAATCATGAAGTGTTTTATAAGTCGTATACCGACAAGTCTGGTCCCTAGTGGAAAATAATAAATTCAAGAGAAGGGTTGTAACCGACGACCGATGTAGCTCCAACTATAACCTATATGGCTACTCATTACTAAAGTAACTACATGACCAATACGTATGTCAAACTTATATTATTGTAGCTACCAACTATGACCTATATGAACAACTATGACCTATGTGGCTAACTGCTAAAGCATATTCCAAATACGACATTTGTGGCCAACTAACATTATTACAATAATCAATTAAATCATATGTGACAAACTACGACATATGTGGTAAACTACTACTACGGCTACCAACCACAGTTTATGTAATAAATTATAACTTATTTGGCTAATTGCTACTACAACTACCAATCACGACCTGTGTGGATAATTATAGCATATGTCTCTAACTCCTACAACTACCAACTACAACCTATGTGACCAATTACATTTATGTAGCTAACTGCTATTAGAACTTCCAACTACAACATCTATGACCAACTAAAGCTAATGCAGCTATCAAATATGGTTTATGAGACCTACAATTACGGTTGATGTTGCTAATTGTTATTGTAGCTTCCAACCACAAACTATGTGGCCAACTATTGCCTATGTGACTAACTACTACTATAGCGATTAACCACGATCTATGCGATAAGCATGACTTATGTAGCCAATCGCTACTACAACTACCAACAATGACCTATGTAATCAATTATGGTCTATGTGGCTAACTGCTACTACAACCACTAATCACAACCTATGTAACTAACTTAGATCTTTGTAGCTAACTTTTATTAGAGCTTCCAACTACAACTTGTATGACCAATTGAAACTACTACAACTATCAACTACGATTTATGTGACTAATTATGTCTTATGTAGCTAATTTTTACTACAGCTTGCAACTACGAATTATGTGACCAATTACAACATATGTGACTAACTACTACGATAGTTATTAACCATGCATGACCTATGTGACTAACTATAACTTATATAGCTAATTCTTACTGTAACTTTTAACTATAGTCTCTATGACCAACTAACACTATTGTTATCACAAACTACGACATATATGGCCATCTTATGTTATTACAACTTCTAACTATAACTTTTGTGGCCAACCGACATTATCTAGGTAACCAACTTCAACCTATGTGGCCAACTATAACTTATGTGGCTAACTACTATAATAAATTCCAACTACAACATCTGGCCAACTGTTGTTATAGCAGTAACCAACTACAACGTATGTGGCTAACCGCTATTGTAGCTTCCAACTACAATCTCTATAGTCAACTAATGTAATTACAATAACCAATTGCGACCTATGTGCCCAACTACGGTTTATTTGGCTAACTACTACTACAACTTCCAACTATGGCCCTTTATGGTCAACTGCTTGTTAACTAACTCTATTACAGTAATCAACTGTATCTTATGTAACCAACTACGACTTATATAACTAATTGCTACTGCAACTATCAACTTTGACCTATGTGACCAACTACATAGTATGTAGTCAAGTGTTATTATAGCTTCCAACTGTTGCCTTTTATGGTCGACTATCATCAACTAAAGCATTTATAACAAACTACTGCCTTTGTAGAACTACATTTATTAATGTAGTTGAACTGCTATTGTACATCTTTAACTATCAGCATTGTAATTTCATGTTCTCTACTTAATGAGAAAAGTGGACTATGTGCTTAGGATCATATAATAGATCATTTTAATTGGGCTATAAACCCTGTAGTTTTTTCTCCTTTTAAGGTTTTTCCACGTAAAAAAAATTATTGTCTCCCTGCATTGTTTTCTATTATTTGTGTGTGTTGTATCTTCGTGCAACGCTGAGACATTTAATAATTCCTCAGTCGCTGTGAATCTTCCACCACATAATAAGGAGTGACATGTTTGATATCATTCATAAAATTTTGTTATTATTCACCTTGGAAGTATAATGATGTATCAAGATATGAAGACTTTATTTTGATGATATGTAATGAAAAGAAAAATAGTTGATATGTCACTAGGGGTAAGAGTTATTAATTGGTGTGCCAGTACAATTCCTACCTGTTTTGGAATATAAATATAATGTATCACCTCAAAAGAGGGATGGCAGCAATTTATATGAAAAATATTTGGCTTTTTTGGGTCATAATTGGAAACACGTAGCAAATGAGGGCCTGGTGGAATAGCTCTCATGAAACAAGGGTTGACGCAACCGCTCATCTAAATAAATAAATTGTATGAGTGTGACGTGTTATTTTATGAGCCCCATTAGCATGCCATGAGCCCCGTTGGAGATGTTGTATTAGCCGGTCTGGCCAACTTTTTATTGGGAGTGAATCTTGCGTCGAGACTTTAGACTTTTTTTTCTTACATTTTATTTCAGCAATTACTAAAAGTCGCCTATGGCAAAGTCAACTACAGTTACGCGGTTTATTTGGAATTCCGAGGCAGTGTTTTAAATTAGGGGAGTACGTGTATCGTTAAGGGTCCCCCTGGATTAAATGATGAGTTATGAGGTGCCTAGTTCAACGGCGAATGCCGCACTGGGTCTCGGTATGCGAGCGGGTTCTATGTTTTGACAAGTATGCGAACCATTTCTGTAGTTTGACGATG